TTTTTTTTTTTTTTCAAGATCAAAGATATTTATGTCCTTTCAGCCGAGGTTCATGATAAAATGTACTCATCTTGGTAATTGAAAACTTCCGCAAATTGGTAATAGAGAAAAAATGCGACGTAATGAGACCACAGGGCTTAAAAACTTCTGAAATGCAGCAAAATTTTCTAGCATCCGAAGTCTGAGACGTTAAAATACCATAAAAAGGAGATAAAACTCTTTTCAACTTCAAGAACAATTTTAAGCTTAGACTAATTCCAATGACAATAAATGCTCACAATCTCTGAACCAAGGAAAAACTCTGCCGAAACCTAATTCATTCTCCTGATGAGCTCGTTGATGTAGTTCTCGCGGTTTCCAGCATCTCCACCCTCAACATAGTGGTTCCTCTTCTTTTTCAGACCACCCAATGGTGCCTTGAGCTTAAATGGCCATAAGAAGTTATTTGCCTCCTTAAAATGAGGTCCGACGGTCGCTATCTCGTGAATGAGATCTTCCACGCAGATAATTCCATACTTGCCCAATGCCTGTGAGACAACAAGGGTGTTTAGCAAAAATGTTTAGAAATAATTATTTTTCCAAAGAATGTGCCAAAAAGAGAGAAGGATAACAAACCTGTTCGATTATGGAGTTGTCGGTCAAAGCAGTTCTTTGCTTGTTCAGCTTTCCATAACCTCTCTTATAAATCAGTTCCCTCACGCTCTTCAAATTCGGGTATCTAGAATCACGCATAACAATTTATCAAAGAAATCGTTGAACTATAAATTGTACTGATGTCGAAAAAACGGACCAATCAAGCATACCCGAATGTCACATAGGGTTCGACCCTGTGGAGCATGTTCACGGTGGCTTTGTTCACTTTAAGGAAGACACCATTGAAGATCTGTTTAGCAGAAAATAGAAGATGAAAAATCAGGTCCTACCATAATAGTACACCTTGAAGTCAAATTTCCGGTATTACAAAACAAGCAAAAACCTGTGCTTTATCACAAATACACTGCTAGAAAAACAGGGAAGAAAAGCATAATGACTAATCACATGAGGAAGATATTATTACTAACGGGTTTTCTGAAGAAAAAAATGGTGAAAGCCTCTTTATTTGTTTACTTAAATACAGTGTAAAAATATAGGAAACTAACCCTATCTCCTATATCGTAAGACATCTCAAAAATATTCCATCACGAAATCAACTTTCAGAATATAATTGTAGGATAACATCATTGGCATAGCATGTTTCCAGGATATGGACAAAAAAAGGGCAAGGGAACTGTTTAAACATGGCATGGTGTTTTAGTTTACGGACTGAGAGATCCAACAAATTACTTAGGGCC